CCCATCCCATAAAACATTAAAACTTAAAAATTATAATTTATAAATTATAGTTAGGTATAGGATTTTTAATGAAATTATAATTAACTACAATATATTTCTTCATAAAACCATTAAAATATATTAATTTAATGTATATAAACCTCATTAAGGTCTTATATTTAGTGTTCTTGATGTATTTTTATGATTTATTAAAGTATTTATTGTGTTTCCAAGCATATTTATGCGTATCTTAGTTTTTCTCCGATACACATATGTATCCAAGGCGTATCCCGATACGTCTCTTAAAATTTCCTTTCTGGTACACTTGGCGTTTCCGATACTTTGAACTTTGCCAAAAACTACTTCCTTTGGGATTTGCACCTAAGGGGAGACCTAAGTAAGTTATAAGCCAACTAGTGGTAGAACACTCAAAAAAAGCTGCTATTGAAGGCACTTCTCCTTCCTCCAAATTAATTCTTGCAATGCAACTCTTCTCCATATTGGTTTTTAAATTTGAAACCCTTTCAAACGTTTTGACGAGACCTTTCAAGTTACCCACCTTTCTCAAATCACTTTGCAAAAAATAATTATGTCATCTGCAAAGTATTTTCAATCTAATTGCAGAACATATAATTACAAGAGAGTATTCCCAATCTAATCAAAACATATAGTCACAATAAAGACAAGTGTTAAAATGGCAAGCAACTGACATATATAAAGAAGAGAAGATGCCTAAAGACTAAAAGGGGATTGAAAGAGAAACATATCTATTACAATTGCTTAATTTTTTCCTATTTGATTTATATAGTTCTTTGTTATGGTTGTTTGAGCCTTAAATGTGCAATTATATTTCTTTTAAGTTTTAATGATCTCTTGAATGTTTATTAACTAATTTAATGTTTCTAGAAAACTTTCCTGATTTTTAAGACTTTCAAAATATCTTAGTGAAATTAGCGAAATATCTCCAAAATTTCTCCAACATGGCAAAATGTTCATCGATATCGATATCATGAACAATGGGTCTAGGTTTTGCCACTTAATACTTACTGCCCTTTCATGATGGCTCAGCCTTGAGTAGAAAAAGAGCAAAATACTTGTATTAGTTAGAGCTTAATTGCTTACAATTTCTGACATGTGCCAAGAATGAGTGGCACTCCTTGTATAGGCAAGGATTGGTGCAATCGATTGTCTGGATGAAATAGCGTCTCATGTGGTTAGGGTGTTTCAAGATCTCCTCTTTTTTCTTTTCTTTTATTTTTCCCTTTTTTTCTTGTTTCTTAACTTCTCTTGTAAGTTGTAACTCATCCTAGAGTTTCCTTTTCAAGAAACCTCTAGAAGCATTGAGATGCCTAGGCACTATGCACCATAAGAGACTACTACTACTATGGTTTCATCTGGTGCAAATGTGAAAAGTTTCCATGTCCATTCACTTCCAGAATATTGAGGAATTACTCATATCGGTTATATGCAGTATTTTTCTTTTTTATTTTTTTTGGTGAACAATATTGGTTATGTGCAGTAATGACAATCATATATACAAGAGGGAAGAGTTGGATGTCTAGGCTATGTGCAGTAATGACAAGTTTTGTATGCAATTGATTGTATTATCAAGCCTACCTATGCATTGAGATGTCTAGGCTAAGGAACATCACAATCTCATTTAAGCAGCCTTAATCTTGCAAAATATGATGGGCTTACTGATTGTAAGGAGGCTGCAACTAGACATGTATGGCTTGGTTCAAGGCTTAATACATTGGTGTAGGTTGAAATGTTGGTCATTCAAATATGGGGAACATGTAAGAAATGCCATATTGAAATACTATAGAAATTATGGACAGTGGAAAATTTTGAAATGTGAGGAAATAAACAATGACATTTTCTGAAATGATAAAAGAAGCATATATGCACCCTTTTAATTATTATCTTGTTCTAAAGTCTAAGCCATCAAGCAAAACCAAGAAACTAAGGTTAATGGACAAAATAATATATTGTGAAGTTGTCTTGTAGAATTTAAGAGTTGAAGCTACACTATAGAGTAAGCTCAAGACTTCAAGTGAAATTTAACTCATAGAACATGCAAATAGTTCTAATAGGTTAACCAAATAATCTATTCCACGAACAAAAACTAGGAGTTTAGGCTGTATTTGGGTCTTGTATAGGTTTCCTTACCTTTCCCTACCTCTTCTTTCAAACCAAACACAACTTTAATATCACATCCAAAAGAATTTTGAGCTCGCTCAAAGTGGTCATCATCTCCATTAGGTGGGTGATAATATTGCTATTCCACATATCTACAATATTGTTGCCCACTCATCATGTTATAATACCATCTTGGTGTACTTCACATAGAGCCAATATTTTTCACTAGGGACTATGTTGATTCTATTGATACTTTATATTGGGACTAGAGGTGATTGTGGGCCAGGCCAAGCCAGGTTGGGCTTTGGGCCTATGACTTAAATACAATATATTTAATTTTTTTGATAATACAATAAATGTATATATAATGTTTATACTACATGACATATAATATGTGCATAAAAAATATGCTATAATTATATAAATATAATATACTGTTGAAATAGCTTGTTTATTCTGGTTATTTTATTCAGTTTATTTTCTCCTGTTATGTTTTAGAATAACTTAGTTTTTTATTCTGTTTATGTACTGTAAGTGCTGCAGGGGCATAAGAGTCCTTTCCCCATCTTTTAAGTGTCGCCCTATATAATATAATATATTCTGGTGCCACCAGAACTGATTTGACTCCTGTTGGAATGTTTTTCTTTATATTTATGATTGTATTCTGCTTAGTTAGGGCCTGTTTTCTCTGTTTAAAATAGCCTTTTTTCCTTTGTTTATGTACTTTGACTACAGCAAGGGCATAAGGGTCTTTTCTCTTTTATTTATGGTCGCCCTATATATAATAACATAAGCTGGTGCTGCCAGACAGATTAGAACTCTCCAAACCTTTCTCTTTTCTTCTCTTCTTCCTTATTTCTTCTCTTTTCTTCTGCTAATATTGGTATCAGAGCAGTTCTACTGGGTTAGAGAGCAGATCGAACTAGTTCTTTCTTCTTTACCTTGCTGTCTTCTTCAACTGAGATCAGAGAAGTTGACCTATGACTAGTACAAGTTTGCTTTACCTTTTTTTTTTCCTTTTCTCTTGGTCGTGTACCAAGAAAAACCCTATCAAACAAGACTGCTGAATGCAGTTAGAGGAATTGTGAGGTTCAGACCTCTTTTCTGTGGATCGTGTGATCCTGTACCTGAGAATGGGTTATGAATGACCTGTTTTTACTAAGTTTTGGTGTGACTTCACTGCTTTGTGATATCTCCTAGTAGTTGGTGTGTTTAGGTGATTTGGAAAATTGGTGGATTGGGACTGTTAAACTTGTGCAGTGCTGAAATCAACCTGAAATTTTTTTAAGAGAATTAGAGCTGGTCTGTGTTCAGATTGTATCCAGACCAGAGTGTGTGCATGTGGACTGCATCTCTAGTGTGTTTTTTGGACCTTTTTGGGTATTAGGAGAGATCTTAAGGTGTGTATTGAAACTGAAAAGTGTTCTTGAATCATGTCCTCCGAGAATTCTGCAACTTCTGGGGTTTCAGGAGGTCAAAACGGAATGAGGGGGGGGGAGGTGGATATGAGTTTCCCCATGGCAGTAATTCCATTTGGACTAAACTACCTTGAATAGTCTAGGGGAATTAAACTTTACATTACTGCTAGGGGAAAAACAGGGTACATCAATGGTAAAGTGAAGGAACCAAAGTCTGGAAGTGCTGAACATGACAGGTGGGACCAAGAAAATAGTATAGTGATGTCATGGTTCTTGGTTTCCATGGTGCCACAAGTAAGGAAGACATTTATGTGGGCTGAAACAGCTTGTGAAATATGGGAACAAAAGAAATCTACCTATTCAGAGCAGAGGCACTATGTAAAGATATATCAATTACAAGCCGAATCCTCCACCTGCAAGCAGGGGGATCAATTAGCCAAACAAGGGGTCAATAGAGGGAACTGATTTTGGGCTCAATTGTAACTATAAGAAAATGTTTTTGTTGTTGATTTAAGTTCTACTGGGGTAGTCAAGGCTACTCAAGAGTTGTAAATTTTACCTCTTTTTAATAAAATTTATGTTTTCCATAGCTGATCCAAAAAAAAATCATATTTATTCCATTCTTCCATCTTAGCATGTTTATCTCCACATGCTGTTTCTTGATCAGCAACACTCTATTAGAAACTGCATATATGGTCATAATGTAACAACTTGTAAAATTTCCCCCATCATTTTGGTCAGTATTTCTCATGGTTGTTCCTGTTTCATTCAAATCATATGTCATCTATTCTAGGAATTTGTTTTGCATCCCTTTATGGTGTTAAACCTTTCAACATGTCACTTTTGTGAGAAGTTGCTCTACTCTATTCCCAACCATACTTTCAAACTATGTTGGTATGACAATTGGGAGGGTTGTGGAAACAGATGTTTTTTCTTCCTGGATATCTCCAATATGTTAATTTGTTTTAATGATTAGGACATCATCATCTAAGCCTTGTCCTAACTATATGGAGTCGGCTACATGAATCCTGTAACACCATTCTGTTCTATTCAGTGCCAAATCTATCATTATTTAACTTTTAGGACATAAATATAGTATTTACATGAAGGAAGGTTCTAATCATTATCAAGTATGAAATGTTTTCCTCCATTAACATTTAGAGCATAAATATGTCATTTATGGTGGTTGTTATTCATTGTGCTGGTTAATGAAACTCTGCAATTTTTTTTTATAATTTTTATATCAGTAAATGCCTTTAACAAGAATTTCGTCTCTTTCTAAGTTTCTATTGTCTGCTTCATAATTGTTTCATAATATTGCTCTTAACAAAATTGAAGGATATTATTGGGGCAGATATGAAAATATTATTGTTTATCTTCTTTCCTGATGGGTTCCAATAATTGAAATTGACTCCTGGGATGGACATTACAGTTGTTATTCAACCTACAATTTCTAATATGCAGGACTCCTTTGTTTTGTGCCGAATTTTTTTAAGATCTTGTAATGGAAATAAAATATCCAAGCATGTCCAAACTTGTTATGCTGAAGAAAACATTGCTGCAACGCATGATGCGGGAACCAGTGTTACTTTCAAACAACATGATACAGCCTCAACATCTGACATTTGTGAATTTCCATTGCATGAGAAGACATCCATTGACATCAACAATGGAATCCATAGATGCCAGATGAAAGCAATCAGCAAACTAGATGATCTGGTTGTGGCCCAACAAATTTCTGATGGATTTCAGTTCCCTGTATTTGTTCCACAGTGTGATGAGCGTGAGCAGGTAAAATCTCTTGAACAATTTCTTGTCACTTTAGATCTTGATGTTGCTTTCTTAAATGCTTAGTTTTATGATTTCTTTTTCTTCAATCTCTATCTTTCTTTCCTCTCCCCTCTCCTGCCTTTCCTTTTTTGCTTAAATATATTTTTTATCAGCTTTTTTCTTAAATATTATGACTAGAAGAGGGGGCTGTGCTGAGTACGGCAAGTAGGAAGGCAAAGGGAACCAGAAAAGAGGAATGATAAATAATGTGAAAATTTTATTCTTGTACTTTCATAACATATTGTTGAATTAGAAGTGGTAAAAAGTGTAGGTAAGTATCCAACTTCATATTTCTAGAAAAAAAAACTATACAAGACTTAAGGCTATGTTTGGTGATTGCATGGTTGTTAAAATAATCACTTGTGCAACGAGTGCGTGCTTATTGTAAGTGCTTATTTTAAAAACCACTCAAGGCTGTTTGGTGACCCATTTGCCAAATCACTTATTGTGTTTTTTAAGCACTTATTGGGGTGGGGATGTTTGGTGAACTACTTTCCCCACAAGTGTTTATGTTAGCATAAATGACAATTTTAGCCTCTCGTCTTCAATATGCTTACTCTACCTTCCCCTCTCTCATATATTTCATTTAGAAATGAAAGACAGGTAAATTACAGCTTCTCATGTCCTAAACATAGACAAGAGAGCTTCAGTTGAGTGCTTGTCTGTTTGGATTTTCTTTGTTGGCTTTCATGAAGCTGCAACGTCAGACAAGATGAGGTAGCACTCTCTCCTAAGAATCCTAAAGCAAGAAAAGTACTACCCTGTTCATATTGTCCCAAAAAAGATAATCTTTTCTGAATATGAACACGAACTGTCGAACTGAACTACTGAAGCTGCAAAAAGATGATTCTGGGTTAAGTTTGAACCCCAAAAGTGATTTTGGTTTGAAGGTCCAAAACCACTCTTCACTGTGGTGTTGATCGTTTTGGTTCTTCATGGAGTTACAGAAAGCAAGGACTGTGTTCTCACCTCTTAGTGACCCCAAAACCTCTTACCACAGAAGGATGATTTTGATTCTCTGAGGCAGGCAGGTGGAGAATTTGGTATTGGTATTCTCTTCTATATTTTCTATCATTTCGGCCCTAGCCACAGATGTGTTTTGGTTTTTTCAGTTCTGTTCTGGTTTTTACACTTTTCTTTAGGCCTTTAGTTTCCCAATAACCCAAAACAGATGAGTTCTTTGTCTCTGATTTCTTTGAGAAAATGGGTCTAAACTCTTCATCCATTTTCGATATCTGCTCCAATTTGTTCATGGGAAGGGGTCTTATGTGACAATCAAGAAGAGAATGTTATTGGTTTAGTGGCTTCTGGTTTAGGCCAGAGATCATCCCTGATTCTACCATTGGAAAACTTGGCAAGCTTCAAACATTGGATCTGAGCAATAACAATATCAATGGTTTGTCATCAGATTTGTGGGGTTTGGGGAGTACTCTCAAGACCCTCAACCTCTCCCATAACCATTTTTCTGGGTTTCTTCCAAGTAACATTGGCAACTTTGGTGGACTGGAAACTCTCGACCTTTCCAACAACAACTTCTCTGGAGACATTCCTGCATCAATCAGCTCTCTTTCGAACTTGCAGATTCTCAAAATAGACCAAAATGAGTTCTCAGGGAGCATTCCTCCAGGGATCCTTAATTGTATATCTCTGGTCTCAATCAACCTTTCATACAATCAGCTCAATGGAATTGTTCCAGATGGTTTTCGTGTTGCATTTCCTAAGCTCAAAACTTCGAATGCTCCTTGAGAACGGTGGAAAAAGTCAACAAAACTAGTTCAAATCAAAATAAAATGCATAAAACGGTGGAAAATAGCAAAACGACCTGATTGCAGGCTGTTTTCCTTGCACAGTTGGTCGTTGCCAGTCGTCAAGGTGTTTGGTGTGCTGCCCTTGCATCCATTGTGTTCGAATGGAAGGAAGAGGGAAGAAAACTCTCGCGGGGTATAAAAAAATTCTAGGGACTGAATTGTCCCATATTATTCGAATAAGCACTTCTCCAAGAAGTGAAAAAAAAAGCAACTCCTAGGTCACTTTTTGTTTAAGTGCTTCTTTTTAAAAAAAGTACTTCTTGTTGACTTTTTTACCAAACATGCACAAGCACTTAATTACCACTTAATGTCTGGTCCCAACACTTAAAAAGAAGTACTTGTTAAAACAAGTGCTTATTCTAAGTGAAATCAAACAAGGGCCTAAATTGCAATTATAGATGTTACTGTTTTTTATATATCATCGATGAAGAGTGACTTAAAGAGTGACTTAACGGTCAAGGCTCTATTTGTTAAATTGCCCAACATGCAAAAATGGATCAGTCTTGGATGCTTCATTTTCTTGAGTGCATTTGGTCATCGAATCAATTGTGAATGGTAAACCTCCCCATGTATATGACCTTATAAAAAGCTCTCTCTCCCCATAGGATGAAATGCTTTGCTTGGAAAGTTAGACACTTGAATATGGCTTGTAAAGTTACATTACTGTTATTGTTTAATAGTAAATTTCTAATCAATCTCCACCTGTCCATGTAAACACCCTCATATAGTTTCAATAAATGATCAACCACCAAGAAAAGGCCTACTTTTCATAATAATAAGAACCCCGGCTGTCAATACAATAATAAACTCCAATAATAATAATAAAATACTAATACTAATAATAATAATAAAAAAAATAATAATAATAATAATAAACTCCAATAATAATAATAATAAAACACTAAATGTAGGGAAAGTATTTATAGGGAGTAAACTCCAATTAGAACCACGGCTGTCAATACAGCACCCATGCCACTTATTCTTGTGAAAACCCACTGGAAAAACAGAAACATTAAGGAAGCAGGTTGAAGAACCCTTGGCCTCTCTTTGATTCTAAACAAACACAGGCACCAATAGACTCATTACAATATTTGCTTTCCCTCCCATGTCTTCTGTCCTATTCATATCTTCCTGGACATTGCAGAATCTGTTCATTCAAACTCATTGTTAGTTCTGTTTCCCAAGTTTGAAAACTCAACTGAGTTTGTCCTTTGACTTCACCTTTTATAGGTATAAAATCCGATATCCTTCAATGAATGCAATACAACTTAGAAGCAGGCAAGCAGCATAGTGTGCATCTTTCAATTGTAGGGAGAGACTTAGTTAGAGATGGAAGCCCTGAAAGATGGATAATCTACTTGGGTTTCTGTTAGTGGGATGGGAGGCAAAGAGCTCTATACCAAATTACCAATGCAAGGTGTGACGAACATGGATTACAAAACATAATAATACTTTTACTTATCAAAAAAAAAAACATGAGAAAACTTTTCATGAAAAAGTGTTAGAACAATGAATGTAATAAAACAATGAGCATAATAGAACAATCATATATCTAAAGGTAGCAGCAAACCATGCTCCTTGGCATGCTGAATATTTTCCAAGTTTGTTGACAAACCAATTATAATTCCTTTTCATCATTTTTGCAAACTCAAGAAGACTGAGCTTTCAAGTTTAACCTGGTAACCATCCTTAGATGCACTCATGCACACAAGTCTTTGTAAAGGCTTAGAATTAAATATTCAAATATATAAACAATATGTATAACATTATGTTATCTCAGTGGCTTCAGCAGTTCAAACCAGAGGAAGAAGAAGAAGAAGAAGAAAAGGAACAGCCAAATCTGATAGCTTAAACCCTATCAGTCGACCCTAATATGAATTAGCCTCTAATTAGTTGTACAAAGACTAAACTGCCCCCCCCCTTAATTATGGGACAGGAAGTTTCTATTAAAACTGCCACATAAGCACATAACTTAACAGAAATAAAATGACTAATCTACCCTTATTCGGCTAGCTCTAACACTCCCCCTCAAGTTGGAGAATATATGTCATATAATCCCAGCTTGTTACATATATAGTTCACTCTCCCTGAGCTTAAGCCTTTTGTAAACAAATCTGCCCATTGATCACCTGAGCCCACATGTTYTRTGCTTATYTCTCCAGTAAGGACCTTCTCCCTCACAAAGTGGCAATCAATCTCTATGTGCTTTGTTCTCTCATGAAAAATAGGGTTAGATGAGATGTGGAGTGCAGCTTGATTGTCACAGTACAATTTCATAGATCTATCCATGGAGAAGCCGATTTCTTGTAGGAGAACCTGATTTCTTGTAGGAGATTCCTTAGCCATACTAATTCACATGTAGTGTGTGCCATGGCTCTGTATTTGGCTTCAGCACTGCTCCTTGCCACAACCGTCTACTTCTTACTCTTCCATGTCACAAGATTCCTCCAAGAAATGTCTAGTAACCTGTAGTAGATCTTCTATCAGACACAGAGCCTGCCCAATCTGCATCTGTATACCCAATTACCTCAAGTCTTCTTCCTGGTTTGTACAATAACCCACGGCCTGAAGCTCCCTTCAGGTACCTTACAATTCTAAGAACTGCATCCCAGTGAAGTATCCGAGGGTTCTGCATAAATTGGCTCACCACACTAGTTGCAAAGGAGATGTTTAGTCTCGTGATAGTCAAATAGTTCAGCTTCCCCACTAACCGTCTATACCTTATAGGATCATCAAATATTTCCCCTGTATCACTGCTCAACTTAGCATTTGGCTCTATGGGAGTTTCAGCCGGTTTTGCACCTAACAGTCCTGTTTCATTCAGCAGATCAAGAACATATTTTCTTTGGCACAGGTTTACACTTTGTTTTGATCTAGCAACTTTTATACTCAAGAAATACTTCAATGTCCCAAGGTCTTTTGTTTGAAAATGGTTTTGCAGAAAGACATTTAGTTTATCGATCCCCAATTTGTCACTACCAGTTATGACAATATCATCCACATAGACCACTAATAAAATCTTTGCGGCTTCTGAATCATAGCTGAACACCGAGTGGTCAACCTGGCATTGTTTCATTCCAAAATTCTTCACCACCTCACTAAACTTCCCAAACCAAGCACAAGGTGATTGTTTTAACCCATAAATTGCATTTT